ATAATAACACAGGTTTCTCTCAACTCTTCAGAGTTGCATCTTTTTGAGAAGATTTTGAAATTAACATTCTCTTTGGAATATTCACCCACTTTTTTCTTTTTGCGTTTTTAAACTCATCAGCTGTTAAGTACAAGCCAGAGAAACAAAGATCTCTATTGGTGCTTTGCTGCAGTTCAAGTTTCACCAAGCATAAGTAAGCAAGCAAAAACTTACAGAATTTCAACAAAGCCAAAATTGGCCCTTTTTATTTAGTATGCAAATTGGACTTCCTAAAAAATGATTCACACATTTGTAATCCCGTTAGCCAAGTAAGATTGTCTTCCATAAACACGGTTTTAACAATGAGTCTGTAAGTGACTGAGAAGGCCAATTCTGGATCCACACGTCCTTCCACAGTGGGGACATTGGTTTCCGGGCGAGAGTTGATCACGGTGGTGATTTGCCAAGCGTGCCTTCGTCTTAGCACATTTCTCCCTTGCATCCTGAGTTTGAGTGTCTTCAAAGCCCATGAAACATTTGATAAAGGCTGTTCTCCAACTGGAGCGCTCACAGGCCAGCGTTTCCCAGTTGTCAGTGTTTATACTACATTTAGACATTATGTCTAAAGTCCATTTAGTTCACCATCCTATGCTCATAGTGGCTGATGAGTTGTTTGTGGGAAGACCACAAGCAGGACCCGAATGTAAGAGCTCTCTCCCGTCCTGCACTTTCAAACAACTGGTATTCAGAAGCATCACATTCTCAAACTTATTAAACAAACAAAAAAGAAACAGTGGGGGGTGAAGCCAGGATGGTGAAAAGTTGGTGGTTGTGGTCAGGAGAGGGGTATGGCCTGAGGAAGGTCCTGGGGGCCACATAGAGAGGCTCAGAGGGCTACATTTGGCCCCCAGGTCTGACGTTCCCCACCCATGAGATGAGCAGGGCTCTTCTTGCATTCACTTTCAAATCCTATTCATTTGAGTGTCAGTTTGTGGCATAAGCGAAAATGTTGCAGCACAGTCAATGGGATTTCAATGTTCTTATCTTTGACTAGATCACGTGCAGGCTGTTTCCCCCCCCCCCCCGGCTCCATAATTGCTCTTTCTGGCTGTTCATCACTTAGGGAAAGCAAAGCAAAAGAGCGTTAATAGAATATATCCCATCCAGAGAGGATCTATTTTGTATTAAGGCTATTGCCATCCCCTCTGCTTCACAGACTCGGATTCTCCAGATATGAGTGGCATTTCATTGCAGCTGCTCCCTTCCTTTCCCCAGCCAATCGCATTAATGCGTGTTTGTCAATACTGAATTTCATTTGCTGCATAACCACCCAAAACTGCTGGCAAATCTCGTTGCATTTTCCTTGCCTCTTAAGCCTGGGTTTTCACTTCTCCCCTACTTTGTGTTGTCAGCAAAACTTAACACATTTACAATCGGTCTCTTGATCTAGGGCAATTACTGTAAAAGGCAATAGCAGGTGCCGAAGTCTTAACAAGAGAAGGATGTTGTCCCATTATTGTAGTGTCCCATCCTCTGTTCATATCAAGATTGTCAAACTGCTTCAAATTAAATTGACACGGGGGCAGGGGAGAGATTGCAACGTTGCTGCAAATCTATGAGCTCGGCTCGGCTTCAGTGCCTGAAAAGGAGCCGAAGAAATGATGGCGCTCATTCATGAATTTAATTGTTTGGGTCTCTTTTTTGGCTCCAGCCGCTACTGCTCAAGGTGAGGCACAGTATAGGAAACATACAGCTAAATGTAAGATCTAATAAAGTAAATTAAAAATCCACAAGTCCAAATGCGTTTGGAATACCAGCTAAAATTCAGGAATCACAGCTAAAGAATCACTGTGATGGTCCATGTAGTTCAGTATTTTCCACACTGACCGACAGAAGCTCTCTGGGGTTGTAGGAAGGGGTCTTTCTGAGGGTTCACATGAACCCTGCTTTCTGTGGCCCCTAAGCCAATTATTTGGTGTAAATTATCTCTCCCTGCTAAGAGACCCTGGGCTATGTGAACCCAGTATGCACACCCACCTCAAGCTATCCAGAGCTGATCAAGGTGCACATGCCAGACATAAAGGACACCCCCCCAAAAAAAAAACACAACCCAAAAGGCTGTGAAAGGTGACCCAAGAGTAGCCTTAACTCAATAATGCCTTGGGGTGCCCGTACATTAACGTCTTCAATTCCCTTACCTGCCCACACTAAATGCCAAGCAGACCAAATCATGAACACACATTGAAAGGCCAGTCAGAATAAACCAACACATCAGTTTTCCTTTTTTTTGGTCTTTATTTCTTTTTTTAAACACTCCATGTGAAAATTCACCAGCATTTTTGCGCGAATTTCTCCTAATTTACAAAATTTTGTATGCAGCTTCTGTCTGATATGCACGTTTTTTAAAGTGATGTTCCCAAATTCAATGCACCCCTCTCCCACTATCTTCATTCATTTTCATGCAGCGACTTCTAAGTCCCTGCAGTTTAATCTTGACTCGTCCTCAGATTCTCCAGGATGCCAGCAAAGACTGGCGCAGGACTGAGCCATGTTCCAAGCTTCCAACAATAACTGTGGGAGTCTCCACCCCCCCAATACAGTTCTTGCTCCACTTTTTCTTGCTTTGACGTGTGCAGTACACAACAAGGAATCTCAGAACTAACTCTTCCCTTAAGCTACCCCCCCCCCCCCCAAATAGCTAGGCCTAGAGCATCCAAGTGGCATGATTTGGAAGAGGTTTGCAACGTTCTGGAGGTTGACAGGGCATGAGGAGATTAAACGGGAGCAGACGAGCTCACCAAGTCTATAATAATCATAAACCTATAGCCAGATGGCTGTTCCTGGTCACTTGCTTTAGAATTATTAAAGCAATAAAAGGGGTTTGATGCTCAGAACGCCTTGTACAGAATCAATGCTGGCCCCATTCATGTCAGCTCCCCCCACACTCTCTGATAATTAAATTCACCACAAGAGGTACCTGAGGTGCTATTGGAAGATGGAGGGGAGAGCATGATTTGTCTTATTTAACACTCCCCCCTCCAACCATCAGCTCCATCCTCTGTTCATATTATTTTTTCCTCTTCCTTCATATCAACCACTGCAAGTCTCTTCCCCTGCCAGTCTTCCTCTGCTCCCAACCAAATGTTTTCCAAAGACCACATGAACTATTAAAGGGAAGCAAAATTCCACAGCACCAAAGGAAGAGATTCTTCTGAGCAGGAGTAATTTGGTCTCTCTCTCTCTAGCTTAATCACCCACACAATTAGGCTGGAGAGGATGGTGTTTTAGCTTTTTTTTAAGCCAACACATGTTTGTGGAGGGTTGGTCTTCCTAGAGAAAGCAGCTGGAGAGGGGTGGTTCACTGAAATGTTACATCTTGAAGGGTTCCAAGGCATTCTACTCCACATCCTTCCAAACTCAAGAGCCTCAAGAACTTAGAATCATAGAATTATAGAGTTGCAAGGTACCCTGAGGTTCATCTAGTCCAACCCCCAGGAATGCAGGAATCATGGCTAAAGAACCCCTTACAGTTGAGCATCCAACCTCTGCTTAAAAACCTCTCCAGTGAAAGAGATTTCACCACTTTCAAAGGAAGTCGGTTCCACTGTCAAACTGCTCTTACTGTCAGAAAGTTCTTCCTACTGTTAAGTTGGAAACTCCTTCCTCGTAATTTGAATTCACTGGTTCAAGTCCTACCCTCTGGAGCATCATAAAGTAAGCTTGCTCCATCTTCCCTGTGACAACCCTTGAGATATTTGAAGATGGCTACCATATCTCCTCTCAGTCTCCTCTTTTTCAGACGAAACATACACAGCTCCCTCTTAAGGCTTGGTTCCCAAACCCTTGATCATTTCAGTTGCCTTCTTCTACACACCTTCCAGTTTGTCAATATCCTTCTTAAATTGTGGTAAGCAGAACTGGACACAGTATTCCAGATGTGGTCTGACCAAGGCAGAATCAAGCGGTACTATTACTTCCCTTGACCTGGACACTGTACTTCTGTTGATGCAGACTAGAATTTCATGAGCTTATTTTTATTTTTATTTTTCTGCTGCTGTATCACACAGTTGATTCATGTTAAGCTTGTGGACTCTCTCTCTCTCTCTCTCTCTCTCTCTCTCTCTCTCTGGACATGACTTGCAAAGGCACTCTGTACAATGGGATCAAACAGTGGAAACAAGGTGGAAAAGAGGGGAAACAGCAAAAACAACAACAGCACAAAAAACCTCCACTGGTAATTTTAAATTACAACCCCACAGATGCAGAAGAAGAAGACTGAATTCAAAATTGGTTGCTAGATAGCATCAGCTCATTAGCAGTTCCATTACACCTTACATTGGTTCGCCTTTTCTCCTAGTACACAAAGTGTGTGTGAGAGAGAGTGAGAGAGTTTGGGAAGGAGTAAATTGGATAAACATAACTCGGGTTCCTTTAGGAATGTCAAAAAGGCTCTTTGCAAGAGAGTCAGAGAGAAAAAAAATGTACTAATCAAATTCATCTCTCTGAGAAAGGAACCCCCCTCCTTTTAATTGATGTGTATTTGGGGCATTTATTTGACACACTAGAAGTAAATTCTTATAGTACACCTCACATGCATAGCACCAAACCTTCCAGAAACTTCTGGTGCACATCCCATAGTCTTCTTCTGCAAATATTTACTCAGAAGTAAGTTCCAGTGAATTCAATGGAACCTTCCCTACAATCTAAGATGTTCTGTTACAGGACCTTGATAACTAGAAAGAATATCTATGCACCTTGGTTCTCGAACGCCTTGGTACTTGAACATTTCGGCTCCCGAATGCCAAAAAACCAGAAGTAAGTGTTCCGGTTTTCAAATGTTTTTCAAAAGCCGAACACCCGATGTGGTTGTTGGCTATTGTTTCTGGGGTGCCTGCACCAATCGGAAGCCACGTCTTGGTTTTCTAACATTTTGGAAGTCGAATGGACTTCCAAAATGGATAGCATTTGATAACCAAGGTACCACTGTATTTGTAAATGCTCAAAATGTTTGTGGGGGTGGGGGTGGATGTGAAGGACTCAGTGGTAGAACATCTGTTTCACATACAGAAGGTCACTGGTTCAATCCCAAGAATTTCCAGGCATGACTTGAAGAGACCCCATTTCTGAAAACCTGGATAGCTGCTGACACTTAGTGCAGATGATACCAAGCCAGATGTGTTAATGTCCTGTCTCCATATAAGGCCACTTCCTATGTTGGTATGTTAGAATTGTCATCGAACTACAATTCCCAGGATTGCTAGGGTAGTTTCTGGAAAATTTCACTATAGAAGTGGGATGTATCAGTGTAAGATGTGGATATCCCCTTGCTCTATGTCTCAGGAATTATATATCTGCAGATATCTGGAAGAAAATGCATTAGACACTGTGGCCATGGTGTATGGTGAAATTTTTCGTAGGGGGCCAGTTAAGGCCAGAGGTGCCAGCTTGTGGAGGCAATTGGTGGGAGCAACATCTTGACATGACCTTGCCAACAAAGGTCCATATAGTTAAAGCTACAGTTTTCCCAGTAGTGATGGATGCAAGTGAGAACAGGACCATAAAGAAGGCTGATCGCTGAAGAATTGATGCTTTTGAATTATGGTGCTGGAGGAGACTCTTGAGAGTCCCATGGACTGCAAGAAGATCAAACCTCCCCATTCTTAAGGAAATCAGCCCTGAGTGCTCACTGGAAGGACAGATCCCGAAGCTGAGGCTCCAAAATTTTGGCCACCTCATGAGAAGACTCCCTGAAAAGACCCTGATGCTGGGAAAGATTGAGGGCATAAGGAGAAGGGGACGACAGAGGACGAGATGGTTGTACAGTGTTCTCGAAGCTACCAGCATGAGTTTGACCAAACTGCCGGAGGCAGTGGAAGACAGGAGTGCCTGGTGTGCTCTGGTCCATGGGGTCACGAAGAGTCGGACACTACTAAACGACTAAACAACAACAACAAACATCTTGACGTTCCGATGTTGCACTTGTGAGCATTAAGCCTCCCGCCCTAAGCTGGGCAGAAGCTTCCCGGACTTTGGGAAGGAGGTGTCAGGCCTCCCACAAATGCTGCCACCCTGTTGCCTCCTTCCCAAAGCCAGGTGGACTCTGGCAAAAGGGCTTGGACCACGTCGGAGTATCACACCTCCCTTCCAAAGGCAGGCAGAAGCTTACTGGGCTTTGGGAAGGAGGTGCCAGGCTTTAATATTTCAATAAACATTTAAGGGACTATCTTGGTCCCCCTAGTCCACTGACTGCATGCCACTGCACTGTGGAACCACTGAATCAGTGTTGGTAGAGTTCGACCTGATTCCCAGCAAACATCTTGTCTTCAGCTCTCCTTGCTCCATCCATGCCCCCTGCTAGCTGATCTCTCTCTCATGCACACCCTCTCTCTCTGCTTCCTCCTCCTCTTCCAACTCCCCCTCTCCCCAGTCCATTTAAGGAACGATCCTGCAAGTTGCTTCTTTTCCATTAGCTTTGGGGGAAGAAGCATCAGTTTTAATAGAGCTTGTCATGTTTAATAGCCAATGTAAACTATGCATTCACATCGATTATATGCACTTTGGACAATTTTCTTTCACAGAGGACTTTTTACAGGGGCAGGGGAAATCATAGCTCACATCTTTTTGTCACCGTGATGCCTTCACAGCCCGCAAGGCTTCCTATTACATGCGCACATTACAGCATATTTGGGTCAGGGAGAGAAATGTATCACACAGTTCCTTGCTCGGTGTAATCAACTTGCAGACTTTACATAATCATGGTCAAATCGCAGCATGATACACTGGTAACACAGGGCTCTCGGGTGACTGTTAGCGATGGCCGATAAATTGATCACCCATGTTCAAGAACAGAATTCATTGGAGTGTCACATATCAGGGACAAGAAATAGGTGGCTTCTGCATATGAAACTGACTTAAACTATTTCACCCAATTGGACCACCCAGCCCAATGCTGTGTACTCTGACTATAAGGGATGGGACGTGGGTGGTGCTGTGGTCTAAACCACTGAGCCTTTTGGGTTTGCCAATCAGAACATTGGTGGTTTGAATCTCTGCGATGGCGTGAGCTCCTGTTGCTCTCTCCCAGCTCCTGCCAACCTAGCAGTTCAAAAGCATGCCAGTGCAAGTAGATAAATAGGTACCACTACGGCAGGAACATAAATGGCATTTCCATGTGCTCTGGCAATTGTCACAGTGTCCCGTGCAGCAGAAGTGGTTTAGTTATGCTGGTCACATGACCCGGAAAGCTGCCTGTGGACAAACACCGGCTCCCTCAGCCTGAAAGCGAGATGAGTGCTGCAACCCCATAGTCACCTTTGACTGGACTTAACTGTCCAGGGGTCCTTTACCTTTAAAAAAACAAAACAAAAAAAACACCTTACTCTGACTATAGTTACTAGTCATGATGGCTAGGGATTTCCTCCAGTGCTGGATACAGTCCCAAGGACCATCTTTTCTCTTTGTTAATCACATGAAAACTGCTGAAGTTAGGGCATTTATGGATGGTCAAGAAAGTGGTCAAATTTCATATGCACATTCATGGGGTGTATTTCTCAGAAGACTAGAATGCAGGGGCACCAAGAGAAGTTGCAGTTTGGAAGATTCAGAACAGACAGCGCTTCATTGCACCAGAAAGTCCCTCCAGAGGCAGTGACAACCACCAACTTGGATGGCTTTAAAAGAGGATGAGACAAATTCATGGAGGAGAAGGATATTGATGTCTATTAGCCATGGTGGCTATGTCTTACCTGCACTGTTAGAGTCAGTATGGGGGGGGGTCACAGGTGGGGAGGGCACTGTTGTGCCCAGGTCCTGCTTGCAGACTTCACACTGGAATCTGGTTAGGCATGGTAAGAACAGGATACTGAGCTACATGGGCCACTGGCCTGATCCAGCAGGGTCTTCTTTTGTTCTTATGCTAAATTCCCCTCCACATTTTGGAGCCTGAAGTTAACAATGTGGTTGCTGCATTGATCCATCACTTATCTACCAGTCCTCTGTTTTGATTCATATATTTTCTTTAGATGCCTGTACATGAACTTTTGATGTGCATTTCTTCTTGCAATTCCCCACCTTTCCCCTTTCACCCCTGTGCATTAGCTCCTGGGTTTAAAATCCAGGTTAAGCAGAATTTGCTGCAATGTGCAGTTGTACAGAGTTTTTGTTGTTATTGATCCAGAAACTCCAGCGGGTGCAGAATGCCATGGAGAGACTCCTTATGGGGTCCTTGCTGCGGGGTCACATTCATTCAGTACTATACCAGCTGCACTGGCTCCTGGTGGAGTACAGGGTCAGGTTTAAGGAAGAAGAAGAAGAAGAAGAAGAAGAAGAAGAAGAAGAAGAAGAAGAAGAAGAAGAAGAAGGTGGTCTGGTTTAAGGTGCTGGTTTTAACCTTTAAAGTCCTATACAGCCTAGGAACCTCGGACCTATGGGACCGCCTCTCCTGGTATGCCCCACGGAGGACCTTATAGTCCGCAAATAATAACATCTTGGAGGTCCCGGGCCTCAAGGAGATTAGACTGGCCTCAACTAGAGCCAAGGCCTTTTCGGCCATGGCCCCGACCTGGTGGCATGCTCTGTCACAAGAGACCAGGGCACTGCAGGATCTGACATCTTTCCACAGGGCCTGCAAGACGGAGCTGTTCCACCAGGCCTTTAGTTGGGGTCCATATAAGGAGAGACCCCCCCTCTCTCCTTGTAACAACTTGTATGAAAGTGCCCCCACCAACTTTTCTCACAGGCTCATTTAAGATCAGTACAAACAGTTAGGCCGGTGGGTTGCCATCTGATTGGATTTCACTTTGATTCTGATCTGATTTTAGGATGTACTTTAATTGATTGCCTGATTTTATGTTAATATGTTATATATTTGATGTTAGCCACTCAGAGCCCAGTTCTGGCCAGGGAAGGCAGGGTATTATTATTATTATTATTATTATTATTATTATTATTATCAGCAGGCTGTTTGAGATTCAGTGCTAGTACAGTGGTACCTCGGTTTTCGAACATAATCCGTTCTGGAAGACTGTTTGTGTTCTGAAACGTTCAAAAACCGAAAATTCAATGTAGAAGCCTTGATACAGAAAACTCAATATGGAAAACTCAATACTAAAGCCATGTGGCGTGTTTGACTTCCAAGGCGTGTTCAAAAACCGAAGCATTTACTTCCGGGTTTACGCTGTTCAAAAACCGAAATGTTCGTCAATGGAGACATTCGAAAAACCGAGGTACCACTGTATTTGAAATGTGGCTAACCCCATCCAAAATTCCTCAGTGTGTCATTGCAGTTTAAATGCATACTCTGAGCAACCACAGGGTATATCAGGTCAGTTTCTTGGTCTGTTTGTACCACAATCCACAAAGATTTAACTCCCCTACTCCTTGCTGATTCCTCATTGATGCTGTGGCTGTTAGCTATGCTATTGGGCAGACTAAGAGTTAAATGAGGGATTATTATCAAAATGTTGGATACCCTCCCCACGTTCTCTTTTTAAAAGGTTTTCCGAATGACCTTGTCAGATTCAAACCTTCATAAGAGGCCAAGGAATGAAAAGAAAATGAGGGTGGGGCTGTTTGTAGGGAAAGACCAGCAATCAGCAGCGCAGTAATTTGCCTGATAACAGAAAATTAAAGAAGAGGCAAGTCGCAGCCTGAGAAGAAGAAGGGGGAAAAAATCATTCAGATTTGAATTCGCTGTATAATTAGCCACAATAGTTAATATCCCTAGCGCCCACCCCAGAAAAAAAGAAGAAGAAAATGAATGGCATCAAATTAGAGTGAAACGGAGACATCACTGCAAAAAGAAAAAGAAAGAAAGAAAGATAGAGTTGAGTAAATGGCTGAGATAATAGAGAAAATATTTAAGAAGCAAGAAATGAACACACAATTGGAGGAAGGAGGAGGAGGAGGAGGAAGAAGAGGGCAAAGAGTTGGATCTGCTTTGACAAGGGGTCATATTGGCAGGAAATATAAGTGTGTGTGTGTGTGTGTGTGCGCGCGCGCGCGTTTTTTAACATATCATTTTCAAGAATAATTAAACATACTTTTACATCTTATACAATTTTTTTTACTACCATCAATCACATCTGAAAATTTCCCAAT